CATGGTGACCACAGGCCAGGAGGGGAGGGTAATGGGGAAGTGGAATCACTACGTCAAATATTTACATTACCCTTAATGAACACGAAGGTCAACCCTAAAAGAAACAACTATCTCGACTGTCTTCAGGGAAAAGGTGGAGGTGAAGCAGGGGTGCTTTCGAACGTCCATTTTTTATGGGACAAACGCCCCAGCTTGGTGAGGTTGTGGCAGAACCCCTGGCCAGCTGTGCCCATGTTTGGATAAGGCCTCCATGCTGTCCCTCTCGTGTGAACGGTGCTGCTCTGCCATTCAGAGGTCGCCAGAAGAATCCGTAGCCGCCACCCCCCCCACCCCCGCATGACTATCTTTTCAAATGCCTTCCACGCCCCAGCCTGGCATTCAGGCTTCTCTCATTGCCCCTGGTGGCCTATATGTTTTGCAGCACTGGGTGGCGCATGTGAGCCCTTTTATCCAACCCATTACTATTTTGTGGGTTCAAAAATATAGCATGCAGTTACACTCAACAATGGTGAGCAAAGCTAATTAAATAGCCCATAATTAGTGGAAAAGTTCTGTATGTGCCATAGGTATTGACTGGCCATGCTAACTCCTAACTTAAGGTCGGAATTTGCAGTCCAACCCAGATGCCATCGACCACTCCGGTTTAGAATTGCGGAACGTACTAGGATCGACACCCCGGGCCTGGATTTGGGGCGAACTCGGCCACCTCCAAACATGTGAGCTGGTCTGTTCTGATGCTTAGGTTTCAGTTTAAAAAAAAAAAAAAAACTGATGAATGAGTTTGACTTACGGGGAATGAATCTACCAGGCTTTCTGTGTGTGCACTGTAATGATTTTGCAGGATTTTCTGAAATACATCGTCATGGCAACCCTCCTTGGCTAGCTGGGTAAATGGCAAGATAACTTTGCACTGGAATGTGCTGAGATCATGAGACTTTCCGTAATGGGACAATATAAGCAGCGCTATTATTTCCTGTTGTCTGTGTAATATACAGAAACAGTTTTGCCAAAAAGGGGACAAAAACAGTAAAGTTAGATTATGTAGCAGAACGTAATGCACTTAAATCTGATTTCAAAGCTATTTGGGGAGCAAATGATAATTGGTGATCAGTGACGTTAAACTGCATCCGGCCGCCCTGCAAGCGGTCCTCCAACTTGCAGGAATCTTTTGTGGGTTGGTGGCGGGATTAGCCACCATAACACAACTCACAACTTCTCGATTAAAACGAGCTAGATACTCTGCTGCAGCTGCCCACAGGAAGGCTGCACACACTATGAAGGGGATGGGGGAGAAGCCTTCTGGAGCCCCATCCCTGGACGTGTCGGAGAGCTAATAGGGTCGGGCGTGTTGGGGATCGGGGCTGGTGTGGTGCTGAGGCGTCGCCTGCTACATGGCGGCACTCGGGTTCCAGTTCGAAGCGACCCATCTAGGTAGGCGCATGGAACTTCTTGTCTCTCCGGCAAGATGACCATCTCCCTCTGCTGTCGGGGGAGCTTCGTAAACTCTGCATATCGGTGGCAGCACACTCTGAGGTACGCAGCCCGGGGAGTGGCCAGATCTCTGTAGGTGGGTACACCTACTTTTGGTCTGGTCGGTCTGACGGCTGCCATACTCAGGGAGTAGCTGTTGCTGTAGCGGATCGGCTCCTTCCGATGGTGTCTGACGTCACTCCTTTCAATTAGCGTATCATGAGACTCAGGCTAAGGCACTTCTTGGGTGTATTGTCTGTTGTCGCAGTGTATGCTCTGACCATGGTGAGTGATATCTTGTTGAGGGAGACATTTTACTCGCAACTTCATTCAGTGGTTGAAGGGTGCCCACAAGGTGACACTCCTCTGGTCATGGGTAACTTCAGTGCGACCACTGGCACTGACAGGGCTAGCTATGAGGATTGTGTCAGTCCCCATGGGTCTGGAGACTGTGGTGAGAGTGGCTGCAGGTCTCTGGATCCTGGTTCCAATGCCCTGCAGCTACATCGTTGGACTTGAAGGAGATAGAGCTCATCCTCGTGGGCAGACGCTGGAGGCTCCTGCAGAACTGCAGGGTCTACAGAAGTGTCCAGTTTGTGAATTCTGACTACAGACTTCTTGTTGCTACTCTGAAGATTCAGCTTTGATCTAGTAGGCTACCACCTACTGGGAGAATGAGGCTGTACTTAGCCAGACTCCAAGATCAAGCTGTTTCTTTTTTTTTTTTTTTTTTTAGCTCTCAAGGTACTTAAGTGTGTAATCTCTATTTATATTTTTCTATATTTTATATTCTATGCATCATGGGGATGGCTGGGTGAAACGGCATTTCGATGCACGATATACCATGTATATTGCTGTATTGACAATAAATCCCTCTTGAATCTTTCTGATGAGTTTGCACACAGTTTGTGTGAGGAACTTGCAGACTTGGGTGGGACTGCTGACTCTAATGTGATGCGGGAGACCTTCCGTGATAAGAGCCTGAAGGTTGCAGAAGGCTGTGTTGGTGTTGCCAGTGTTCCCAGAAGGAGGTGTTTCATCTCACAGGCCACCCTGGAAATTATCGGGGGGAGTCGTAGTGCACGACTGGGTGGCAACTCCAGTATGTAATGGGAACTGAGAAGGACGGCTGTGAGGGCTCTGAGGGCAGATAAGGAGGCATTTATTAGACGAATTTGTGAGCAGGTGACACACCATCTGTGGTTTTGTGACTCACATCCTGCCTACAAAGGAATCGAAGCATTATGCACATCTTGAATCTCTTCCTCTGGGATTTGCAGTACGGGCGGGTGATGGAACGGCCCTTACAGATGACACTGCAGTTGTGACCCGCTGGGCCAGCTACTTTGAACAGTTGTTTAAAGCTGACCCTCCAGCTAGGATGTTGGACATCTCTGGGTCTATTGTTCTCAAAGCTGATCCTCCGATCAATTACGAACCACCCAATCTCACTGAGATTGCACGGGTGGTGAGTCAGCTGGGGGCAGGGAAGGCCACAGGGATCTGTGCTATCCAGGCTGAACTTCTCCAGACATTGCAGGCAATCTTTGCTTCCATTTGGGAGTCAGGCATCATCCCTGATGGGGATGGAAAAACAGGAGTTGTAGCGGCAACTACAGGGGGTAACACTGCTCTCAGTGCCGGGTAAGGTCCTTGCTAGGGTCATCCTTAAGGGGATCCGTGATCACTTGCTTGGCTGTCAGCGACCGGAGCAGTCTGGTTCTATGCCTAAGAAGTCTACCATCGACCGTATCCTTGCACTGAAGGTTCTCATCCAGTGCAAGTGCGAATATCGGCAGAGGTTCTTTGCAGCCTTTGTCGATTTTCTTAATGCATTTGACTCATTGAGTTGCCCTGTGGGATATTCTGAGACTTTGTGGGATCCCCCCAAAGCTTCTGGATGACATGGCCGGCCTGTACACTGGTACTGTGAGTGCCATGCAAGGTGGAGGGACAACCACTGCGTTCTTCCCAGTTGACTCTGGGGTTCACCAGGGGTGTGTTCTTGCTCCTATTCTGTTTAATGCTTGTATAGACTGGTTGTGGGCAGGGTCGTGGGCTCCAGTAGCTGTGGGGCATCCGTTGGTGAAGAAAGATTTACTGCCATGGATGCCGTGATCTTAGCAGAGCCAGTGGAGGCTCTGATTGGGGCTCTCGGGAGACTGAGCGAGGAGTCTGAATGTTTGGGATTGCGGGTGTCCTGGATAAAGACCAAGATCCAGGGATTTAATGACTTCTTAGGCACAGCCATTAGTAGTGTTTCTGTCTGCGCGGATAATGTCGATCTTTTCGAGAGATTTACCTACCTTGGCAGTGACATTCTTGTCTGTTGTGACTCTTACTATGAAGTCAGCAAACGGACTGGAAGAGTATGGGGGGTCATGAGGTCACTGGAATGTGGTGTGTGGCATTCCCGATGTCTTCGTAAGAGGATGAAGGTCCAAGTCTTTAGAGTCCTGGTGCTCTATGTCTTGCTGTATGGCTGTGAGACATAGACCCCATCCAGTAAGCTGAGACAAAGAGTGGACTCCTTCAGTACTGTGTCTCTTCAGAGAATCCTTGGGTAGCGCTGGTTTGACTTTGTGTTGAACGAGCGGTTGCTAGAGTAGTCCTGAATGAGGCACATTACCTGCATTGTGAGGGAGCGTCAGTTACGGCACTACGGCCATGTGGCGCGTTTCCCTGAGGGTGATCCGGCTCACAGGATCCTCATTGCTGACTCAAGTGGCTGGACCAGGCTAAGGGGACGCCCATCTCCAGAGGGTGGTACTGGACCGTGCATCTCCCTGGGGGGTTGCCGGCCAAGATCCTGAGGAATTTTGCTGTGTGGTGGATGCAGCAACGCGCTGTATCAGTGTATGCTCCCCAACGTGACCCGAGTGTGGTTTATGTCATAAGGATGTTTGTTAGATGTTAGTTAGTGTTTTTCTAAAATCTGTATACTAGCCCTCGTCTCCAGGACGTGCCCTGCTTGGTGTCCTGTACCTCATGGGACAGGCTGCAAGATCCCTGTGACCTAGACGAGGATGAAGGGTCGGAAGATGGATGGATGAACAGCAGGCATGCTGAGGTGAGAGACGGCGACATTCACAGCAGATCCTGGCAAGGCTGTTCTGCGTGTTAATCTATCAGTCTGGTCCGAAAGTAGATAGGGTACAAGAGGGCCTTTACCCTGATATATCCAGCAACACCTCTAGCCGTTTAAATGGCCACTTCAGCTAATTTATGCTGTAACACTCCATCTCAGCAGACGGATGGTGTCTGGTGGGTTGTTGTGCAACCCTTAGAAATCCAATCAGGGTTTTGTTTTTAAATGTAAAATGCTTTTATGCCATATGGATACTGACAGGTATGACTTCACAAGTGCGTTTCCCAGGCTTTGAGGTACAGATCCCACCCCCCCACCTGTTTAAAAGACCAGTGTAGAAGGATTACATTTTGAATTGTGTACCTTGAGCAGTATGATGCGTCACTGTTTAAATCTGATTACATCGTGGGCTGTCTGTGAGGCAGTGACCACAAAGGCGACGTTTACAACAAGTGCAGTTTTATTGATCGTCAGATAGATGGACCTCGGGGAGGAAATGGGGACTGGGAGAAAAGCCCAAATTAAATACAAACATAGTAGAGAAGGGACGGGAAACCGATATGCAGTAATAAAATATACGTCTCCTGCAATAACTGAATCAAAGCACTATCTCTGAATGCCTTGGTAAAGACCTTCACTCACACCTACACATTCCTGATCTTTTAGTCAGTTACTTTACGATTAGGTCTGTCAACAGGTAGGACTATCTAGAAATGACACACACACAGAAAGGTGTTCTGTCTGAATATGATACATTAACTACTGAAAAGAAGGTATTGATGTTGATATAGTCTATATTTGCATTTAATAGAAATGCTGCATTGTTTTGTTACATTCCTGAGGGCAGAACTACGCAAGCAGTCATAAGTTGTAAGAAACAAACAGGCCTTTTTAAATATCTGTTTTATCAGACAGCCGTATATAACTGACTGACGCAATGCAGGGAAAAGTGCTGGAATATTCAAGTAACATCGTTTCCTTAAAGCACAACATATTAAAATGGTACTAAAAGTGATAACTGATAATGAGGGTGATGGAAAGTGACCAAAAGAAACACACAGGAAGGTTCTGCTTTTTTGGACCAAGCCCTCGACCCTGAAAAGAACAGAGATGACTCTGACGTGGCGATGTGTGCGTACAGGCCGGAGTCCCGCAAGCTGACTAAGCATCTGCTTTCACGAGGTCCACATACTTGCACCGTTAAGGTCATCTCAATTTCAGCTGACAGTTTAAAACGAAGGTAGAGGCTTCACTGGGCTTCAACATAAACACTGTACTCACTCACTGTAGCAGGTCGCCATTAAATACCAATAAAGAGGGAGTGGAATATGAGCCATTCTGGGTAAAACAGGTCGCAGATCAGTGAGGCAGAACACCTCAGCTTTGAACGTGTGCACATTTCAGACAAATGGAACACCACTCGCTCGTTCATTGCACCTTAACCTTAGCTACTATAAACACTGAAAAGAACATCTTGAAGACGTAGGGTGTTTTACCCAGACAATGTTCCCATGCCAGTTACCTGCGGCTAGTTTGGAATCATCTCTCAGACTAGGCCTGGCTTCACTGTGGTCCAGTTACGGTTCTGAGTCTGGCTCCGGTCGGATCTCCCTTCTGCTAGATGTACAGCCTGGTCGTCTCAGTGGCCCCTGGACAGCCATCCACCCACATTTTTTGTCCAGTTTCACCACCTGCACACTTGTTTCTACTAACTATCAGCTACTGAGCCGGTCATGCAGATTGCAGACTGCCTTATGGGGGTGGAGGACCAACAGATCACTGTGGTGACCAGTTCAGGTGATTTATCTGGCCAGAGGCTGCCGTCCTGTGACACACTTTCCTGATTTTTTTCCGCTAACCCTATTTCCATCATGTTTAAACCACAAATAAAAAGCACATAAAATGTAAAAACCACACACACACACACCACACACACACACCACACACAGGAGCCGCCCAGATATCCACCCACACAACCAGAGTCAGGATACACTCGCCTCTGCGCTCCCTTACCAAACGCGCTCACGCACCTCTCACTCACATACAACATGAGACTTTTGCGGTGAAGCAGGCCAGCTTGGTCCCCATAAAGCTGAGTCCTGTCTATGCTCCTCCAGGAAAGCTCACCGGTACATTTTTAGAAATCATTTTCCCATCAAAGTGTCTCTAGGCCAAAAACAAAAAAAAGTAAAAACAAAAAAACCCATCAAGGACACAAGCGGAGTTTTGAAATCGGCATGGTGTGGCGTGCCTGTTCCTGAGCGCTGTTCTGTGGTTTCGGGGTCAGAAGGGGCCACCTATGCCTCACGGTAACCCAGCTGAAAAGTACCTAAGAAACCTATCAGGCCTTTTCTGTTTTGGAAAGAGCTGGCAGTGGTGGGGGGGTGGAACCACATTCATGAGGGAGACACTGTAGTACACGTGCTTGGCCTAGTGGGGGCAGTGTTCATGTGTGGTGTAGCGCCTCTTAGCTGTCAGGCTCCTCCAGGTGCCATGGGAGGCAGGACTGCTGGCTGGAAGTGCTGGTGCCCCGAGACACACGCTGGTCTGGCTCAGGGTAGAGCGGGGAGGGGCCCACGGAGGGGGGTGGCCCATGCCCGCCCTTAAAGGTGAGCTCCTGTGTGGGAAGGAGGGGCTTGAGGATGCTGACCAGGCAGAAGGCAGAGCCGCTCTTGGGGATGAAGTTGACCTTGTTCCTGTCCGGGCACAGGAATTGTGGGATCTCATGCGGCAGCCGGGAGCTGAAATGGGGCGGGGAAGTACCAGCGTGACATGATGAAACACACCGGCGGTTTATGGTGCCCAGCGGCGGGTGCAGATGCGACTCACGGTGTCTCCTCGAAGGCCTTGACCCTCTCGCAGCCCTCTGGCGGCTCCCTCTTAAACATGTAGCTGTTGTTGGGCTTGGGGGACGAGGCGTATTTGGGGAGGGGGGAACTGGGATACGGATCTGTGGGCAGAAGGATCTCCTGTCACATGTGCTTGTCAGAGCATGATTCAGAAGCAAATACAAGCCAACCAGGAAATAATACACAGCTGCTCCTCGATTTAAAATGGCGTTACTTTCCGATGGACCATAAATGGAATATATCGTACGTTGAATATGTATGCGATATACCAGCTAACTACTGTCACTAAATAATTACTGTAACTAAATACCAGTAATTGAAAAGTAAATAAATGAATACAAGTTTTAGTTAAATACAGAAAAAACACTGTATGATACGCTGTTAAACACTGTATGGCATGTTTACATTTGCGATCGCTATAGAAACGCGTGGCTGCATGGATGCTTGCATCAGTAGAAAGTATCGTATGGTATATCCCTAGCCTGGGAACAGATTAAAATTCAACGTTTGATGACTACTGAATGTGCATTGTTATCGCACCATTGTAAAGTCAAAATACCTTAAATGGAACCATCTTAAAGCAAGAGCATTTGGTTACACATACAAGCAGTCCATGAAAATACTGTCAACCTTCAATTTAATTACCCATGACAGCCTGCACTTTAAGTTCATGACAATTATAATTTTATATAAATATTATCCAGCTCTGTGGGGGGAGGTCACCTTTCTCTCGCCCGTCATTCAGAAGCTCTTCGCTGGAGCAGGGGCTCTCCGGCCCTGCGTCGCTGGTCACCGTCAGGAAGGTGGGGGACGTGGACTGGGAGCGGCTGCTGTTGTTGCTGTGGTTACCACCTCCCCCACCAGCCGTGAGGCCTCCTCTACCTCCCGAGGGCGTCTGGGTGTCGATGCTGCGGGTGCTGCTGCTGCGGTGGGGCAGGGGCGGGGGGGCTCGGTGGCCATCAGGGACGTCCTGAGGCTGGGAGAGAGCGTGACACAGATATGCAGGTTACATAGCGCCAATGTGACATGGAGAAGAAACAGGGGTGGCCACAGGGGGGGGGGGGTCTCACCATGAGCTGCTCATCACGATCTCCTGGCTCGTGGATGATGATGCGCTCAATCTCCTGGTTCAGCCCCTCCACGCTGTTCCGGAATCGGGACACCGTCGACTTGGAGATGGGGATGGGCACCAGGATGCTCTTGGGAATGGGTACCTGGACAGAGGGGAAAGGGCACAGCACCGGTTCAGACCACAGAGGGAGCAGCAGTGGGGATTCACAGGAGCTATTCACTACAGTACCACCAGCAGGGAGCATGGCATTACGCAGCACTGCGCATATGCAGACCCAAACACAGCGTTACTCAGCACTGCGCATATGCAGACCCAAACACAGCGTTACACAGCACTGCGCACACGCAGACCCAAACACAGCGTTACACAGCACTGGGCACACGCAGACCCAAACACAGCTACACAGCACTGGGCACACGCAGACCCAAACAGTGTTACACAGCACTGGGCACACGCAAACCCAAACAGTGTTACACAGCACTGGGCACATGCAGACCCAACAGCGTTACTCAGCACTGCGCACATGCAGACCCAAACACAGATACACAGCACTGGGCACATGCA